GGGTGCCGACCCCCGACCCCCGGGACCCCCGCCGGGGCCCCGGGTCCGGGGGTCGACAACCCTGATTACGGACACGACTCAGGATGTAGCGGCGAAACGACGATCATGGTTACGAGCGGTAGAACGATTCTATCCCCGGCCTGATCATGACCTTCCCAAAGGGGCTGCCTCTGATATCCCGTCAGTTCCTTCTCCCCCTCCTCCGACTCTCTCAATGAATCAACAGGTAGCAACTGTTAAACCCAGAAGCTCCCAAGATCCGTCCGCTATGACCATAACAAACATGCACTTGGCACAAATGATCCATACAGGTACTACCAAACAATATGAATTGATGAGCAACCTGGTCCAAATGCAGGCGGCTCACATGGATCGAATGAAACAGATAATGAGCAGACTAATTAAGCCCAACCCAGCTCCTGCCCGACCTACCCCTGCATCGTTCCCGCTTTTGCTTGCTCCACCTGCACCCAGACATGCACCGCAGTTCCCGCCTACAGCTAATCCGGCAGGGAAAATCGAGTGCTACAACTGCAAACAGCCCGGACATTTTGCCCGGGACTGTCCGCAGCCAAAACGAAATCAGCCCCCACCTGCCGCAGCCCCCGTAGCTCTGAATCAAGGACGGGTGACTGCATTAATGGATACGGCCCGAAACGAGGAGATCATTGCATACGCCCCTGAGCGATCTTCCCCCTCAATAGCAGTTGCATCAACCTCAGGAACTTCTTCTTCCGAAGCTGCGGACGTGGTTGATCCGTTCGAATACCTTTATCTCGCCGGCATGATCGAAGACATCTGACCAGCCCAGGACGATCTTGAATGGGTCGAATGCGAATCTAACCCCGGACCACAGTTTCGGACGAGAGAAATTGATGTACTACGAACGCTTAAGCAACTGGATATTCGCGTTCCGGTCCCAGTAGGGCATTTGCTCACCATATCCGAAGCAGCAAATGACAAACTGCTGCAACAATGTCTGAAGAATCAAAAGCGCTTTACATACCAGCGCATACAACGAATGTTGAAAAAGAAGAAGGAAGGAGCGGAGGATGTTGCATCGCCTGAACCCGAAGTTGGTGAACCCGAAGTTGGTGAACCCGAAGCAGCGCGAGTAGCTGCAATTTCTTTAGCTGAGAAAGATCACTTCGTGCGAGCTCGACCAGTGTTGTGGAAAAGTGCTGAATGTGATTGCGAAGTATGGGGCAAACCTTTTAACGCTCTCATCGATACCGACTCCTCTGTGGTCGCTATATCATTAGACGCGGTAAAAAGAACGGGACGACTAACTCGATTCTCCCTCAATCTGGCAAGGACCGTTATGTCTCTGCCGACGTGGAAGCAGTGAATATCGTAGGAGTCATCGAGAATGTGGCCGTGAAAGTTGGACGAGTACACGTCCTCGTTAACGCTTTAGTCATAGATGTGCACTCATATTCGGTGTTGTTAGGACTGCCGTGGGCAATGGCGGTAGGTGCCCGCATGCATTTCGATTCCAAGCAGTTGGTGCTTACAGAAACAGGAGGAAAGCCTCAGACAGTTCCGTTGCGGATTTCAACCCAAACAGTAAAAAGGAATCCTAATCCTTCTCGGATAGGGATGATTCAAGGTCCTGATCACGAGGAATTTTCATCCCCGGGTAATACTAGCGGATTCGAAGAATAGGAGTGCGAAGAAGAGATGTCTAGCGAGAGTGAGTGGAGACACTTGGTCGATCTTTTCGAGCACGAAACCCCCGAGGAATTTCAGATGGTTCCCAGAGCCGGCCGAACCTTCCACTTGAGTCTGGAAGACAACGCGCTCGCGCTTATGGAAACCCAGGTCAGTCCTTCGACCTTTCTCGGAGAACCCATCTTGCAAATATCTGACCTGGCAGACAATTTGGAACCCCCTCACACTTTGTACGAGGGAACACTTTCCCTTCCAGCATGCTATCAACAGGCGAAACAATACCTAGATGTTTCTGTTTCCCCTCCAAGGCCACTTCTTACGACAAGAGCGACCATACTCTGATTAAACAAGAAGTCGAAGCTCCTGTCGACGATGTGTCCGATCTGATGTAGGAAAGGGTGGATCTAACGGGACTAACCGTGGAAGAAACCTCGGCTGATTCGAAAATTGACACCGAAGTTAAAGAGACCGAGATGATTAGCCCCGCTGCATCCCAGATGATCGCGATTGTATTTTCTGTCCGCACTAGCAGCTCTATTTTCTCTAGCGTCCATGACCTATGGAATCCGCCTGCTGATTGGATCGATATGCCCATTGAGATACCCGATCGACCGACTGTCACTCTGCCCGATCACATCCCTCTAGAATTTCGACAATCACTGATTAACGTCTTGAATGGGTACGTAGTGGTATTAAGTGTGCGCGATAACGATATTGGGCGGGCTAACGTGATCGAGCATGCCATTCTTACGGGGGATCATCCACCCATTAGCTGCGTTCCTTATCGATACTCGCCAGCACAACGGGCGGCCGCGTTTCAACAAATTAAGGAATTCAAAGCTAATGGATGAATCGAACCCGCCCCAGGACCTTGGTCGTTTCCTGTGGTAATCGTGCCCAAGAAGGCCGGAGGGATTCACATATGCATCGATTATCGGAAACTGAACGATATAACGATCAAAGATATGTACCCTCTTCCCCGGATTGACGAGCTGTTGGATGCGATTGGGAGTGCTCGATTTTTCAGTAAGTTTGCTGTTCGGCATGGGTTTCATCATCTTCTTGTTCGAGAGGAGGATCGTCCGAAAATGACGTTTGTGTTGTTCGAAGGTACTTGGTAATGGGTTCGATGTCCAATGGGCATCTGCAATGCTCCTGCAACCTTTCAGCGAGCCATGAACATGGCTTTCCAGAACTTTGTGCAGAAGACACGTCTGGCGCAGAGCATCATCAACTATTGCGTGATTGTGTACATGGATATTATGCTGGTGTATTCGAGTTCCTACGAGGGGCATGTGCAGCACATCGAATGGACGTTGCATGCATTGAGAGATGCCGGTTTCAAGGTGGCGCTTGAGAAATGCCTGTTCTTTCTCACCACCATTTCCTTCCTGGGACACGTGGTGACCGACCAGGGACTCAGACCGGAACCGCAAAAGGTGGCAACTGTAAGAGATGTACCTGTGCCCACGACTATCACGCAAGTTCGTGCCTTTTTGGGCCTGGCCTCGTACTACCGAAGGTTTATCAAGGGCTTCGGGGCTATTGCGGGTCCCCTCACGAATCTGCGGAAAAAGGATCAACCGTTGATCTGGACGTCAGAGTGTGATCAAGCGTTCTCGAAACTCAAGGCAGCCCTTATTTTGGCTCCGGTCCTTATAAGACCGGATCCTGCGAAGCCTTTTGTCCTCATTACGGATTGGCAGCCGGAGGCAATCTCAACGATCTTGGCCCAGGTGGGACCCTATGGACTCGAATGCGTGGTAGAATACGCGTCTAAGTCGGTGCTTGCCTGCAAACGCAATTACGGCGGCCCGATAGGAGAATGCTATGCGGCTCTGTGGGGAATCAGTCACTTTCGAGCCTATTTGTAGGGGCGGAAGTTCACACTGGTCACCAATCATGAATCATTATTAGCCCTGAAGAAATCTAAGGATTACTTGGGCATGATCGGGAGATGGGCAACGGTGGTACAGAGCATGGACTTTGACATTTGTGATCGGGAGCATGAGAGGCACGGGAATGCTGACGGGTTGACACGACTACACCGACCCGAGAAGGTCCTCAAGAGCGAGGAGGTGATTCCGTGGAACGAGCCGAAGAAGGAGAACGGACCACTGTACGGACAAGTGGAAATTTTGTCGAAGGAGTGAGTGACATGGAGCTTCGCTCTGCCCTCTCTGCAGCCCTGCTCACTCTCTCTCCTCCCCTCTCATCATGGCTACCCCACCTGTTTCTGCGACCTCTTCTTCCCCTGCTGATTCCGACCCTCTTGCCTCCTCGGCTGTCTTCGCCACCCTTCCCAACAAATTTTGCTATTTTTGTACGTGTATTACACGTGTATTACACGGGTTTATGGGGTGGATTGTCATCCTTTTGAGATCGGATTCATTGAGTGGGTGAACTGTGCCACGTGTGTCAATCGTGCACACGGTGCATGCGTTCGATACCGAACGAATAATAGGGAATGGAAGTGCCCTCTGTGTAGAACAGACAAACTCCCTACCGAGGCGCGATTCGAGGCTGCCCGAACGGACGGCCCTGAATATGATGAGAAATATCGACGAGCAGAGGTCTGGACGGATAAAATTTTATTAGCTAAATTGGCTGGTTTACCATTGGATCATCTCCCTAAGCACGACAGACGTCGGGCTATCGAGAGATCTCGGGATTACCGATGGATCAACGGTCACCTTGAGAAGCGTAAAACTGACGGATCGGGTTTGTGGTTGACGGTTCCTCATCCATTCCAGAGATATGATTGGACCCGATCTGCTCACGAAGAGCCGGCCGCTCACTTTGCGATACGTGTCACGGAGGCAACTATAAACCAGAATCGATGGTTCTGGTCTAATATATGGGACGATGTCAGATACATAGTCGCCAACTGTCTGGTCTGTGCCGCCGACCGTGCCTAAGTACGGGGAGCAAACACGATAGTACCGACGGAAGTAGAGCGCCATTTCCAGCGAGTCAGTATGGACACAACAAATATCGACGTGCCACCTGGACTAAACCGTTGCGAATATTCCATCCTGTTAGTTTTAATAGACCATTTTTCCAAATACATCGAGGTCTACCCTTGCAAGACCCGTAAGGCCGCAGAGATAGCCACGTACATCGATCGGTTCCTCTATACCCACCTAGATACGGAAGAGACTTTAACTGACAAAGAGTCCAAATTCAAAGGCGAGGTAGAGGAATTACTCGCTTAACGAAGCATTACGCTTCGATACACGGCACCCCACGTTTCCCAGTCGAACGGGTTGGCCGAAAATGCTAATCGCATGATTAAGACTGCCCTTCGTAGAAATCTAGCGGTGCGTGATACGCGTCCTTGGCCCGAGATCGTATACCAAATCGTCGGAATTCACCGGGCCACCCCTCACGAATCCACGGGGTTCACCCCCTTTCAGCTTCAGACCAATAGCCTCCCATGTGTCGATTACCGGGGCAACTCGGAAATTGCCGAAGCCGGGGGTAGAGACACGCGTGCCGCCCTTAAGGTTAAGGCCAAAAGGTACGCCGATTTAATGGAAAGGGCCTTCCCGAAGCTAGCCCGAAAGAGACAGAAAATGACTGATCTAGCCCACAGAAGGCAAGTCCGTAGCTACGAGGCCCGAAATGGAAACGGTGGTCCCCAACATCAATATAAATTAGGGGACCTGGTGCAGGTACGTAAACGTGCACGCGACCGGAAACTCGCTCCCAAATTCTCTAGCTGTTTTCGCGTTCTCGAGCTCGGACCCAACGGTGCCAACACGGTGCACATTGTGCCCGAAGCAAGCACCAGCCATAACTCTGTCCCCATCGTCCGACATGCCTCTTACATTCGTCCCCTCCCTCCCTCTAATCTCCCTCCGTCTCCCTCATCTGCTGAAGAAGAGGACGGCGACGATCTAGTTCCCGCCTCGTTCTCTCCCTCCTACTCCCATCTTTCATCTTCTTCCCCGTCCTCGCCATGAGTTTCATCACGGAGCAAGCTCTTAGGAATCATCTGCTGCAGCCACGTGGCTACATCTCTGAGATCCGGCAAGTTCGTCATCCGCGACTCAGTCCTGATCTTCGAAGATTGGCGCAGTTCTTCTGCACCGAGGGAGTGGGTGCCACCGTTGCGTTCCGATTCGCCAGAAGCCCACAGGCAGTAGTATTGGCGGAGGTGGTAGCGCTTCATTGGCGGGCGGCTCCAGGAACGAGCCACGTCACCACGGTCGCTGCCTTCAGCGGCGATATCAGCACGGTCAGCCCGCTTCGGCATACTGCGACCGTGACTTTATTACGAGAGTGGACGCAGCAGTTATCGACTGAGTGGCATCACGGTCTTGCACGCCCCGCGTGCAACCTCGTCCCAACGTACGGGACCGACTTCGACGAGCTTCGTACCTCTACGCACCAGCCGGCAGTGGTGCTCCCCACACTCGTCCCCTTTCAACGCCCCCAATGAACCCCGCCGCTCCTCTCGCTCCTCTCTCCACCTTTGGTCTTCCCTCTCTTTTCCCCACCTTCTGACAATCCGATCTTCATCCCCGCCTTTCCTTCTTGCTCGAGCCTCCTGCAGTCCCGCTCCTCGATCTCAGGCATTGGCGGGTGTGGCGCGAGACCTTTGTCGATCTGTCTGTGTGCTTGGCCCGAGTGGAGGTGACGTGGACGAGGACTGACGAGCATCAGGCGTGTATTGAGTACCTGGAGCTGCTGATCGTCTAGGTTTGGAGAACTGACGTGGAGGGCGATCTTCTCGGTTTTCTTTTCAGATCGGTGCGGCCAGGTCATCGCCAGCTAATTGTCTAGGAACTCGTCGTCCCGCTCGCGCAACTGGTCGACGACCTCTCTCTCGATATTGTTTGGCAAAGTGACGAGAGCCCGGCTCCGCACGTCCTTACACGGAATTTGGCACTGTATCTCCAGTGGACTGCGTGCTTGGAGGAACCGGGGAGTGAAAGCGCCTTGCCATCGTGGCAGGAGTACTTGAAGCCAACCGAAATCATCAATCTCGCCTTCTATCCGAAGCAAGATTCATCCGAGGAGGCAGGAGAAGAAGAAGAGGACGATGCCGAAGAAGAAACGCCGGAGGAAGGAAGTTATAGCGAGTACAGTGAAGGGGAGCAGAGTGTAGAGGAAGAAGAGGAAGAAGAGGAAGAAGAAGAAGAAGAAAACGATGAAGAGGAGGAAGCCGGATCGGAGTGGGAGGCCTTGACGGAAGAATCGGCGCGCACAGGCACGGAGGCGGAAGATCTTGAGGCGGCACGTAGAAGAGAAGAGATCACCGCCGGGAAAAGCTAGTTGAAGTTCGTCAGCGAGGCGAACCCGCGCATCGACGACGACCCGACCAGAGATTCAGAGCCCCCCGAGCCCGAAGATGGCGGCCCAGCAACCGCGGCTCCGAGCGCATCGCGACGGAGACTGAGCTGATCCCCCTCCCCCTCCGCCTCAGCCCATCTCCCAGTTCGTCCACGTACCGATGCGGGGGATCGGCCTTCGTCCCCAGTCATTATCCCGTCGTCCCCTCGATTACCTCACCCTCTGTCAGATCTCTACCCTCGTCACCTTCACGCGCAACCCCTTCCCTCCCAATACCTTCCGTCACTTTTTCTCCACCCACCTCGCTGTCACCGTCCATCCTCATCCTTCCCTTCAATGCGCAAACCCCACGTTTTATTACATGTCCTTTTGTTCAGTGCCACGTGGGAACAGAGCAACGCAGTAGAAGTCTACTGCGTAATCACATGAACCATCCCCGCATGTCGCCATCACGAGTTGTTTCGCGCGGCACTCTTCTGCACTTTCTCCACCCTTCACCCTGACTACCTCGCCTCCCTCTCTCACAGCGGCGATCGGTTTCCCCGCTTTCACCGGATCATCTGCTACGACGAACTTCCAAGCACAGAGGAAGAGATGAACCGCTACTTACCCCCTCTCCCCCCCAACCCTCCCTGTCGACACCCCCCCATGTATAATGTCTATTTTCCCATTCCCACGCGACGCTGATACCGACACGTGTCACGACGGCGGCCCATCCCACCCTCTTCTTATCTATGACCTTTTAGAGCGTGGCGATCGACTGGATAAATAGCCACGTGTCCCCCGAGCCACACGAATCAGCAGTTTCGCAAAGATCACGCCATTGACGATGACGTTAACTCGTGCTCTGATTCGACGGATTGCGCTGGACTGAGGGTGCAAAGCACACGGAGATCTGATGGACCATGATGGTGCCACCTGGACGGTCTCCGAAGTTCGAAGGACAGGGGGTTGCATATGACAGGACTGCAGGAAACGGGATCCGAAACAGCACGAGCCGGCATACTTCACGGAGATCTTGCCACGGATGTTGTCGCCTGCTCATCGTGCTGATCTGAGCTCCTACTTCTTCCTGCTTCTTCGTCTCCTCCTACTTCTTCCTGCTTCTTCGTCTCCTCCTACTTACTTGGTTCAAGGTCTTTCATGCAATCAGGATATCGCATAGTTTTGGAACCCCCTGCGCGTCACATATGTGACGAACCACTTCCCGACCCCGTGCTATCTTTCGTACCCCTTGACTCAATTCCCCCTTTTTGTATCATACCGACCCAACAAAACCCCCATCGCTTTTCTTGATTTCAGGTGCCTTGTTTAGGCCCCAATTTTTCAGAAGTTCCATTGGTTCTTGAAATTCTGCTTTTTGTAATTCGGGAAATGCATGGGAAATTGCGCGCGCCTTAGCGAGCGCACTGGGAATCAGGCTCGACAGTTAGGAATTCCAGAGTAAGCGGAACCCGACGTGTCTTTTTCTTTGCATGAATGTTCTCGGTCACGTCAGAGAAAACTCTAGGAATTTTGGGAGAATACGGATAGGCATAAGACTTTCTTTTCCCGCGTCGACTTTCTCGCGCGGATATGGCGATTTCAATTTTTGAATTGGTATAGGACATAGGCAAGCTGTAACTGTTTTGGTGCCTTTTTCTCTTGCTGTGGGCTCCACGCATGCGAGCTTCCTCCTCCTTATTTCCCGCGTCATCTTTCCCCCGCGCTCTCTCTTCTCTCTCTCTCTCTTTCCCCCCCCCCCTTTTTCTCCCTCCTCTTCGTCTCCTATCACAACTGTTTTTCCCTCTCTCTCTCTCTCTCTCTGCTTTTTGCGCGCCTGTTTCCGCTTCTTGATCATCTGAATCTTGGACCCGTCTCACGCTGCTTTTCGCGCCTCGTTCCTTCTCGCTCTTCAACCTTGGCTCACGAAGCCCGGTTGATCCTCACCCCTGCTCACCAATCAGACGCGTTGAGCAAGAGGATCTTCCTATTGCGCGACGAATCTGATTGGCCAAATATCGGGTTCCAAAGGATCAACATGGCTTTCCTTGAGCACCCCTTGTTGAACCTTCTCCTCTTACACTTCGATTTCCCCTCTGTCTTCTCCCCCATCTATCTCCTTTCTCGCAACTATAAATTCCGCAAGCGTGCCCGCAAATCTCTCTTACGTTTCCCCCTCGCAAGCCAGCTTCTGGGAAGCAGTGGCTAGGTGATGCGTTTGGTGCGAGTCGAAAAGTCCTGTCGGGCTAACTGTAGGCTGGCCGGCTGCGCGCTTGATCGCCACGACGGACTGTGGGATCCGGGCGAGCCGAGTTGAGTCTGCGTCAGCGGGGTGACGATCGCAGTGGCGGAAGTTAGCACGCGACGGCCGGGATCATCGGTGCGGGTAAGAGGATCTGTAATTGGAGTTGGGTGGATGATTGACCTGGGGCCATATTGGAATTTCACGGCGAATGCGCCTTCATGATTGCGGATCATTTTTTGGTGTGAGTTCATGGCTGCGAAGCCAAATATTCCCTTGTTGGATTCTGATGTCTCCTATCTCGACATTCTTCGACTCTCTCTCTCTCTCTCTCATCTCTCTCTGACTTGAATGATGATGTGTTACGAGTTTGTCTCTCCTGTGAACCGAAGTAAACTCTTGTGACTCCTTGCGAAGAAGAACTTCTTTTGGAACTCTTCCATTAGTTTTCTGGGTAATCCCCGGATGCAAGGGGACCCCATCACCTTGTCTTGTGAATGGTGGATGCGTGTGTACAACCCTCCGATTGGTTTTTAACTTGTGCGCCCTTGTCATTTTCGCACCTTCCACGGTGGATGTATGTATAGAAATGCTTATATTTCTGCGTTGATTAGACCCAGAGCTCGACGGAATTTTGTTCGAGAATACAAGAGTGTTTAGATCGGTCGTTCTGAATGCACTGCGCATGCCATCTGCCTTATGCTGCACGACATCTGCAGACAGCCTATGGGGCAACCTCGAAAAAGCGAGGCGCCTCCTGTTTTTGTTGATCTGGTCTGCTGAAACTGAGTCGCGGGTTGATCCCTCGGAACTCCGACCCGATTAATGCATGGTTATGCGAGTTCTGTAAGATGCTTCCCTTGTGTCAAAAGGAAGGAAAATACTAGTTAGTTCTTTTTCGATTGTGCTTTTTGATGACGTCTCGAGGATTTTTGCAAACTCCTTTTGATTGATTGATATGTGGACTAACGGTCGCTCCTCGACCGGGCGCCAGCCTTCCGTATCTCCCTCGCCAATGATCCCCTTCCCTTACAGCGAGGAAAGGACACATGTTGCCACTTACCGAGCTAATCGTCATTCCGTGGATGGCTGTGGCGCCCCATTGGCCTCGAACCCTGTGCACTGAGTGCCAGCGTTTCGATCGCTACGAATCAAAGGGCTTCCACTACCGGATACGGAGTGAAGACGAGCACAAGGAAAGAGCCACGCGGCTGAGACCATCCACGTCGGACTCGGAACTGACCAACGAGCGACGTCGGGACTTGATACGGAAACGGGACACGCGGAGTGTGGCGAAGCCCTTCCGCTCTTAACGGAGATCCGTAGCGCGGTGGGAAGCTCGACAATACTTTTTGGATTGAATTTTGACTTTTCTCTTTTCGAGCCGTGCCCGTGCGCGCCTTCCGCGACGCGCGAAAGCAACCGACTTACTTCATCGGGCCAACACGGGGGATTTCAGTTCTGTCTGTGTCCCCACACTCAATTATCCAAAAATCCTTGGCACACCCCATCTTGTTGTTTTTCTGGGCCTTCTTTCCGCACTCTTAGCACTCCGAACGGAAGACAGCACAGGGCGTGAGGTTGCGCGTCACAAGGGCAACTTGAACCAGACTGTAGTGACAAGCACCAAGGCTGGGCCACCCCCCCAGCCCTAGTGGAAGCGGAAGCGGAAGTGGACGAACCTTGCTGTATGGGAACTTCGGATGCCAGGCTCATGCAATCTTCTACAGGCCCAATTCAGAGAGTCTACCCAGCAGGAGTACCTAAGCAAGGCAAGCCAGCACCCACGGACACATCCTACCGTCCTTCCCCTAACTTATCAAGGCTAGGCGGAACTCAGACTAGCCGGAGCGACTTATATCCCTACCCTACCCTAGAGCTAAGCCATGCATGAGTATACCCCGTCCCCGTCATATACCTGATAGACCCCCCCAGCCCGGTATCATAGTTGTGTGTATATGTGTGCCCAGAGGCTATGTATGTTTGTATAGCTCATAGATGACCGCTGCCGAAATGATGCTGGCCGGCGCTAGGGTTTGGTTATGCTGCCCCGTAACTTGAATAAGATAGGGGCAAGAGGCCTGGTAGAGAGATTTGGGGAATCGCCGAGGGTGGAAGTCATTCCGGTGACCACCGTGAGCTACCTGACTCGGTGAGCTACCATGAGCTACCATCCGAGTCAGGACGACGAAGGTCGCAGCATGAATGGGACGTGCTGCCGTGTAAGTCCTCAGCGTTGGGAGTGGGTGAGACTGGATAGAGTCTTGGCATGAAGGGCGGAGGCAATTTCTGTTGGTATGTTGAACAGTACATGGGTAGCTTGGTTTTGGACCTTCAGTTCTTTGACTTGTTTCAGTGATTCTTCCCATTATTGTGCATTATGCCCTTTTCAACTTGACTATAGGGTGTTGTCGTAGTTGGCCCTGTCTTCTGAAGTTTGCTTTAGTGGTTTTCTGAATACTCTGGAAAGTTTTCTCAGCCAAAGCCGGGTAATGGCGGCGGCCTTCTAAATTCTCTGTACTATTTTTGTATGGGACCCGGGGCCCGGTTCCCAGTATGTGCTGCCCAGCCTGCCCCCCACGAATACAGTGGAGCTCTGTCCCGAAAATTTGAAGGGAAAAAATAAATAGAGGGAAGTATGTTCATGTCACATCAGAGTGCAATTCGCAAATGAAACATGCGCCTTTGTCATCGCCTAAGTCCAAAAAGGCGGTTGTAAATCAGGCCGGCAGTGGAGTCAGCGGGAAAGTCTCATGTAGGCACTCGTGTCGTGTTTGGTACCGGTCCGTTCCCGGGTATCGGGCCGTCCCACACTTTTTCATTCACGGTAC